GGGCAGAGATGTATAAGGTCATGTGAAAAGAGTTAGAATGACTCCCAGGCTAGCAAGACATCACTGTGATCCAACTTAGTATTTTCACATACCTAGAGAAAACATGTCTGCCCCAGGCAGGCTGGGTAGGCAGGAAGGCCAGAGCAGGGCACTGTAGATTGAAATGTGAAGCACTGTCCAGTGCACACGGACCCTTGGCCATTGGCCTTTGAACATCTTATTCTCATTAGCAAGCCTCTTCCTAGTAATGCACCAGATACTTTGGTCCTAGCTCTCCCATGCTTACTAAGAAACCTCTGATTGTATGTTGGTTTCTGAAAATGTGTGTATTAATGTGATTGTTGCAGGCCACATGACAGTTGTATTTCTTTTGGTACATTAATTAGCTGGCATTTTGGTTTATGCAGAAACTCGTAAACCTGATTAGTAGGGGTCTCACATGAGAGATGAATCCATGTTCAATGTGTTGACAATATCAAGGGTGCTGGGCCTGCAAGACAGAGAGCCAGCCCTGGAGTCCCAGCTGGGTAGTCAACCAGCCTTTTCCACACTGCTCCCCTTGTTACTGCCATTGTAGAAGTCTCTGGGTGGAACTTTACAACTTTATTTAAGACTAGTGCTGTGGGCTGCCAATTTCCATTCAGCAAGAAGAATGCTCTAGAAGAGGAAGTGTTTGGAAAGTTCTGAGGGCTGAACGCTAATTCACGTGATCACATATCTACTTAGAGTTAAGGGGCAATTCGAACCATGAATTAGGACCGACTCGGAGATGGAATACACAGAAAAATTAATTATATTTTGGCATGAGTAAATGTTCATAATGAGCTTGGGGTGAACCAAAGAGAGAGGACAATTTGTTTAAATATCAGAACTTCTTTCTTATTAGCAGAGGGGCAAACTTGTGTTTTGCTTTTTTGTTCACATTATACATTTCTGCCATTCCATCTGCACAAATATTTCTGTTTGCTTGTGCTGTGGAAATGGAGATCAATCTCTATTATTTTATGGCTTAGGAAACAGATATACTTTTCGTTAAGCTGAATGTTGACTATGTACGTGCCTAAAATATTTCATAAGAATAAAACAAACAACAATCACAGAAAACATGTTTGGGTAATAAGTTTTCTATCCTTTTTTTTTTTTTTTTTTTTTATTTATACTGAGTTTCACTCCCGTTGCCCAAGCTAGAGTGCAATGGCGTGATCCCAGCTTAATGCAACCTTTGCTTCCTGGGTTCAAGTGATTCTCCTGCCTCAGCCTCCTGAGTAGCTGGGATTATAGGCGTGCGCCACCATGCCTGGCTAATTTTCTTGTATTTTTAGTAGAAACGGGGTTTCACCATGTTGGCCAGGCTGGTCTTGAACTCCTGACTTCAGGTGATCCAACAGCCATGGCCTCCCAAAGTGCTGGGATTACATGCGTGAGCCATCGTGCCCAGCCGAGCTTTCTATCTTGTGTGCAAAGAAACAGAGCTTTACTCAAATACATGCTTTTCGAATACATGCTTTTTAATTGCTTTAATAGTGCCTTAATGAATGCTTTTGTCAATAATAAAGCACATTGCTTTATCTAGTCATATTTTTCAGAATCTCAAGTATGAAAGCCATAATTAATAAACAGAAATATAAAACTATTGAAACAAAAATAGGTGCTTTTAGACATCTGCCCTATCAGAATTTATGGCAGACCAGACTAATGACCATGCATCAGTAAGGACTATGTCCATCAGTCATAAAAACAACAGAGAGGGTTGGAAATAAAAGAGCAGCATTTGAATGTTATTCCTGAAATTTCCATATAGTGAATCATAAATAAATGATTACAAACTTTCCTTGGAAGCTCCCATGAGGCCACAAGAAGGGTTTTTCCAAAGCAGTGCCAGCGTGGAAATCCAAGTTCTAGTACCTGACCTGCTTCAAGCCAGGCCACCATGCCAGGGCCATCATGACCACCCTTTAAGTCAGTGCCTCAAACATGCTTAAGGCTTAACCCCTACCATGGATGTGCTTGTGGGGAACTGCCCCTCTCATTCCTGCTGTCACTCTCACCTACTCTCTGACCCTTTTCTCTCCATTTAACCAACCTTGATTAACTTCTTGAGAATGGATGGATGATCAGGGCTTTTAAAACAGTAGGAAAAGTATGATCTTTGAAGTTAGAAAGACTCCCCTTGCTGTGTGGCTTTGCTCAAGTTACTTAATTTATCTGTGCCTCTGATCATTTGTGAAGTGGGGATCATATATAATTCACTGAGCTGCTTTGGGATTTAAATAAGAAAAGGAGTAAACTATTTTTTGGTTGATTTAACAGTTGAAATAAACAGTACTTATTTCCAGCTCTGAATTTTTCAGAGTTTAAATTCATGAATTTGGTAGGCACTGGGTCTTAATTCCACAACACTAAATGTTAATACATGCAAAGCACCATATTGAGTGAGCACTGGGGATAAATATGAACAGTGTGGTTTCTGTCTTCTAACAGAGGAGGCAAATGAGTAAACAATCTATTAAGTCACCCATGGGGTGTAGGGCAGTGATGAGGGCTGTATGAGATATACTAAGAAAGGCTATGATAACACAGCAGGAGAGGCCAATCTTGATCAGGCCTTGGAAAGAGTAAATCTGGAAGGATAAAGAGGATTTCAACTGAAGAGGGGCCTGCCAAGCAGAGGGAAGGAATAATCCAAGACTGGGAGCTTCAAAGATTGTGCACCAAGGCTCAAGTACATGGAAAAGCAGATGCATAGTGCTGGTGAATGTGAGTCGTCAGAGCTGGTATGTGAGGGCGGACAGGAGACACTGTCAGGACTAAATGCTCAAGGCCTTGACTGGCCTGCTCAGGAGTGTGGACCTTATTGTAAGGGTACTAGGAAGGACCTAGACACATGAGCTCCAAATTTTATGTTCATAATGAAGAAAGAGGCAATTGAGATCTCTTTACAGTGAAGAAGTTGGAAGAAGGAGATATTAGAGCAAATTCATTGAGCTTGGTGCCTTCAAGTTACTGTGGACAATAGAATAAATTATGAAAATCAAATGCACACACAAAAGTCTAAGGGAAAAAAGAGAGAATCCAAATTAGCATCTCTGCCTATGGCTCTGATGTTCAAGGTTTTCACACTCTAGATCAAGCTTGTACAGCCCATAGCCCACAGGCCCTATTGCAGTTTTGAATATGGCCCAATGTAAACTCGTAAACTTTCTTAAAACATTATGAGATTTTTTGTGTGTGATTTTTTTTTTTAAGCTCATCAGCTATTGTTAGTGTTAGTGTATTTTATGTATGGTGTGTGTGGCCCAAAACAATTCTTCTTCCAATGTGACCCAGCCAAACAACTGGACATCCCTGCTCTAGCGTCCCCCTACATGCAAGGATGAGGAAGGTAATGCACTCCCGACTCCCAGCCCAGTGCTCAGAGGTGAGCACAATGAATGCTCTACCAAGAGTTAAATCAGAATGTCATGCGGCTAGAGAAAGCTTTCTTGGCCTATGGAAACATCTCAAGAAATTAAGTGTCTTTTGGAAGGGGATGATGGGTAAAAGGAAAACAGATAATGGTAGAATATGGGAGGAGAGGGATGGGAAGGAAGGAGGGAGAGTGAGAATGAAGGGGAGATGGGTGTGTTTTACCTGATGCAAAAGTTAAGTTATATAGGCTGTTATATACTGACTCCTGGAAGAAGAAAAAAGAAATAAGAAGAAAGAAGAGGAAGAAAAGGAAAAAGAAGAAAGGAAGAAGAAAAAAGGAAGAAGAAAGAAGGAAAGAGAAGAAAGGAAGAAGAGGAAAGGAAGAAGAGGAAGGAAGAAGGAGAAGAAAAAGGAGAAGAAAGAAGGAAGGAGAAAGAAGGCCAAAATTCAATTCATAGATATTTTTGGAAGATGACACCAAGGATGTTATATTTTGTGAAATTTCTTTTTAGCACTTTCCAAATTTCCTATACAAGACAAATATTACAATCAAATTTTTTTTCCCCCAAAAAGCCCCCTTTTAAAAATAGACTTTGAAGTTGAAATCTACTCAGGTATCACTGCAGCTCAGATAGGACACTGTGGGCCTGGTGCCTAGGGGAGACTCACTGACCAGTAGCTTTGAAATTCTTTATTACTGATATCATTATGATGCTAACAATTTATCATAGCTTGGATAGAATGTTTCTAGGCTGGCACTGTCCAACACAGTGATGATGTCTGCAATGTTGTTCTATAGCTGTGCTATCCAATAAAGCAGTCACTAGCCACTCATGCTACTGAGCTTTCGAAATGTGGCTGGTATAACCTAGGAACTGGATTTTACATTTTATCTATTTTAATTAATTTGCATATACTTTTCAGAGAGTGTCTCACTCTGTTCCTCAGGCTAGAGTGCAGTGGTATAATCATAGGTCACTGCAGCCTGGAACTCTTGGGCTTAAGCCATCCTCCCACCTCAGCCTCCTGAGTTGCTGGGATTACAGGTATGCACTGCTGGCTTTTTTTTTTTCTTTTTAGACAGAGTCTCTTTCTGTTGCCAGTGGAGTGACTTCTGCTTACCGCAATCTCCGACTCCCTTGGTTCAAGTGATTCTCCTGCCTCAGCCTTCTGAGTAGCTGGGATTACAGGCACAGCTAACGTTTGTATTTTTAGTAGAGACGGGGCTTCACCATGTTGGCCAGGATGGTCTTGATCTCCTGACCTTGTGATCCACCCACCTCAGCCTACCAAAGTGTTGAAATTAGGGGTGTGAGCCACTGCGCCCGGCCTTGCTGGTCTCAAGCTCCTGGCCTCCAGCCTCTGCCTCCTGGAGCGCTGGGATTATAGGTTTGAGCCACTGAGCCTGGCCTAATTAATTTACACTTAAATAGCCTTAAGGATCCCTTAACACATTCTACTCAGACTGCAGCCCTGAGCCCTTTGAACACAAAACGCTCCCCACATCCTCCCTACACTTCCTCAAGGGAGAACCAGGGCCTCTGCCTTGGACATGGACATGCTTTGATCCAACCACAGGGCGCTTTCTTCACCTCGGTAGCATGGGGGCAGTGTGAGGAGGGTGGGGACCGGTTACCAGGGCAACCAGGAGCTGTGTTGGTGCCAGCCCAGCTGTGACCCATATCTTCAGTCTTAGACTCGTTGGATTCTTGTCAAGAAAGAAAATCATCTGTCGTTGTATCTCTTAAGAATGTAAACCATCTGTCTTTTTACCTCTTTCTCTCTCTGTTTTGGTTCTATCTAAGGTATGGCTAGCCTGGTTTTTTTTTTTTTTTTGAAAAAATGTAGTAAGTAACTTGTGTTTCTTCCAGTAATCTTTTCTCCTGTGCATAAATTTCTCTTCTGAATTCTATCCCCCAGTCCATGCAGCCCACTTAACAAGCATCACTTGTGAAGGGGAGACTATAGAAATTGCATTTTAAAATCTATGAATTTTGGTTGCTTTGTTATTTAACTTACCTTTTATTTGCAGTCACCAAAGAGAAACCTAAAATAACACTGGCACAGTGACATTTTATACACTCCCTAGAAATGGTTTATATCACTGGTGTCTATCTATGATTTATGTTGTGTGTGTTAGCAATAATTTTAAAACGTGATACTTATTGAATGCTATAGGTACTTTTCTGTGCACATATTTTGTATTATCTCATTTAATAATCCCAAGAATTCGATCAAATAGATCCCGTTACCATTTCTACTTCACAGGAAGAGACTAAGCCCTTTGTCAGGTCATACAAGCCTGGTAGTGGAACCAGGTTGCCTATGTTTATTATCTCTAGTTTAATATCAACATTATGTTTAAATTATTACTCTCTTTTATAGATCTTTTGCCCTACCTTCTAAAATCAAATGTTGCAAACCTGTGATGATTCAAGGCCTGAACCACTGCAAACTCAAGCTGCACCCCCCGCCCCCATAACAAAGAGAAGCACACTCTTTGGGGGCTCTAGAATAGACCTAACAATGGTTTAATGGCTCAAGGCACAACAAAGAAAAGATAGTGACCTAGGGAAGGGACACCTGGGGGTAAGCCCAGCCCCACTGAAAGTGAAAACAACAGTGTTGGTCTGTGGCCAGTTCCATTCATTCCTGGCCTTTGGACATAATTAGTACACGGCCCCAGCCTTTGACCTGCCCTCATCTCTCCTGAGTTACGGCCAGTTATACCAGCGAGGACGGTTTGTAACTCTGGTGTGAGACACTCCAGGGATGGCCTCACAGCCTGCACACAGGAGAGTGCTATTCATCCATTCATTCACTTGAAAACATGCCACAACTATTTTCTGTTGTTTACTGTGTGTCAGGCCCGGGGGGGCGGGGGGGGGGCGGGTACAATGGTTAACACAAACAGCCACAGTCCCTGCCCTTTTAGGGGTAAAGTCTAGTTGCAGAGACAAGCATTAATCAAATTCTCAGACTGTCAGTTACTGAGCTGCCACAGGGACAAGCACAACAGTGAAATGGCACCATGAGAGTCCATCTTGGAGGTTTCACTTCCCTGAGGAAGCTTCATGGGTGCTGACATCAAAGGATGAGAAGGGCTAGCTCAGGGAAGAAGGGAAAGGGATACAAAGGCCCTGTGGGAGAAGTGTTGCAGTGGGAGGGACTGGAAGAGGCCATGTTGCTCCCGTGGACATGGGGGGTGGTGCATAGCTCCTAAAGAGCCTGGAGCCGTGCGGAGGCCACACCATGCATGCTTAGCAGTGCAGATGTTTGGTCTTGACCCTGAGGTTTGTGGGAAGCCACTACAGGGTCATAAGCAGAAGAAATAGAGCCAGATCTGATAGCACCTGGGAAGAGAAGATGAGGACTTCCCCATGTATGAGGTACAGGGAGCCTCTGCCCTCTCAGAGATTAAAATCCCACAACAAGGTGTTTTGGCAGAGCCTGTTCAGGCTGGGGCAGAGGGTGGCATTGTTCGTAGGGCTGAGTTCAGAGAGGTGATCAGGACTGGAGCTAACATATGTAGAAAATCTACTGGGTACCTGGCTCTTTAAAGCCCCTCTGTGGTTACCTTAGGATTCAGGAACTCTACTGCACCAAGTGCTGTAGAGATCTCATCCTGTGTCACCCAGGTGGAATATGCATGTTAGATACAGACAGCAATTGTTACCTGGTCATTGAGCGGTATCCCTTCTCCCATCTTCCTTCGATTTTCCTCCGAGTGATAGTCATCAGCATCATAGAATTTCCACCCCAGCTTTAAGAACAAAGTGAAAGGATGTGTGTGGCAGGCAGATGGGCCAATGTAACCGTCATCGTGGGGTTACTAACAGGCAGGTGTAGAAACACTACTATCCGCCTAGTTCCCATCAGCCCCAAGGACAACCCCCAGGAGAGAAGCACCTTGTCATGCCATTTCACAACCCCTGTGAGTGGGCTGCCACAGCCTCCTTCAATTCATCACTGTTTATAATCACCAAAAACGAAATTGCTCCAATGGGGTTCAAAGCCATAGTGGAAGTGTCCATATAAACCACGATAGGCCAGAAGAAAGGCAGAGATGCAAGGAGACCAGAACACGATGGGACACACACTTGGAAGGCATTAGGACCGGTTACTAACCTCAGATGCCAGCAGAGCGCCCACGGTGGATCTGTGGAGAGGACACAGATGTTCCCATTACTCCCCTGCCCAATGTGTGGAGCTTCCTGCCGTGAAAGGATGTCTGGGAAAGGGATGGTGGCTATCGCGAGAATTTAAACACCAATCACCGTGTAAGCAGTGATGCCCTTGACCTTAGAAGCTAGAGATTGGCCTCAGCTGATCCCCGGGAATGTCAATGAAGAAATAATTAGTTAACACTGTTTCTTTCTCAAAAGGCAATATATAAGATTTCATTAAACCCCTAAAGTTTTTTCTTCAATAATAAGTTTTTGGTCCCTGTGTGTAGATTTTTTTTGTAGGGAGGGGGAATGCTGAATTAAAGTGTTAATATTCTGTTGAGAATATTGGATGGCGGGGTCTGATGGAGGATTTAATCTCTAGCAGCACCCATGTAAAGTTCAGGAAACTCATAAAAGCATAAAAACATTTTTGAAGTTTAAAAGAGACATGCTCCTAAATAAGGGATATGGGTCAATGTTTCAAGAATCACTGGCACTTGTTAAGACTGGGAGTTAAATGTTCTTTGTGCAGAGTATTTGGTAGCTGTCTATTTATCCTCCACCAGGCAGCACGTGCTAGTGAAAGGGGCTCCGGTCTCAGTACTGGAGATGGGGCCACAGTTGCTTTCTGCCGGTAAATGACTGAGTGCTCTCAGTCAAGTCACCTGTTCCTTTAAACCTCGGTTTTCTCACCTGCAAAACAAGGGATCTGAGCCACATGATTTATCCATCCACCTACATTTCATTCAGCTGATCTTTACTGAGCACCTACCAGTTCCCAGGATGCAATGGTGAGCTCACTAAGATATGGTCTCAGCCATTCTGAGTTACACACTCTATTACCACAGGATAGGGGTAGAGGCCAGCAGACAATGATCCATAAAGTGCTTTCTTGCTTTCAATTTTTAAAGTGTTGCCCAAATGCCAATTACTTAAGCATCATCTTCATAATTTGTACCTATCCCCATACTATTTTATCATGCCCTCTTAAATTTTGCACATCACCTCAACATTTGATGTTTTTATTTAATTTAATTTTTTAAAATAAAGCAATAAGTGTGTTAAAGAAGGAAACTTTCATTCCCTTATACAAGAAGCTATCATCCCTTGCCTTGAATAGAAGGTACCTGAAAACCTGTATATAATGAAAACAGAACAATGTGATTAAATTCTAGCTGGATACTGTTTTCTAACAAAGGTCCTCTTTCTTTCATTAAAAAGCTATCAGTGAGGGTGTTCGACACACTTGTATCAAACTGAGATCTGCTCCTTGATGTAACCAAAGGATTGAGAGAGCACTGAAACCTTTCCCATATGTTCACTCTATTGAAGGCTGTGCAGGGAGATATGTAGCCTACACATGAATAAACTATCTGGCCAAACTCCAAGGCTGGTGAAGCCAGAGCTGTGCATAGCAGAAATCACACTTAAGACCAAGTTAGGTTGGGTGCAGTGGCTCATGCCTGTAATCCCAGCACTTTGGGAGGCTGGGGCAGGCAGATGACTTGAGGCAAGGAGTTTGAGACCAGCCCGGCCAACATGGCAAAATCCTGCCTCTACTAAAAATACAAAACTTAACTGCGCATGGTGGCACACGCCTGTAATTCCAGCTACTCCTGAGGCTGAGGCATGAGAATCACTTGAA